GGTCCCTTACCGCGGTCTTTATCCGTCTTTAAGGTCGCGGGGCGTGGACGGCGTGGCAATTTCTCCACCACAGGGATGCGTAAAGGTGGTCCCTCATCACGGTTTCTATCCGTGTTAGGGTCGCGGGGCTTGGCAGGCGTGACCACTCTCCACGCCACAGGGGGTGCGCAGAGGGGGGGTCCCCCATCGCGGTTTCTATCCGTGTCAGGGCTGCAGGGCGTGACAGGCGTGGCATTTTCTCCGGCTCTCCCACCCCTTCCAACCCGAACGTTAAGCCCGATGCCAACTACTTACGTCCACCAAGGCCGCACTCCCAGGCTGCCGCGAGCTCGAGGGCCGAACTGGAGCTCTGCGCGCAGAGGCTCTCGCTTTCCCCCAGGGCAGCGTGCAACTGAGCGGCACAAAGGCCGGCGACGACGACGGTGACATCGAGGCCCCCTGGGACCTATCTCCTCTGCACGGGTGCGGCTTGCGAGCACGGGTGCGCGCGGGGGGGCTCGGCAGCCTCCAGCGCATGAAACGGGACACGACAATCGAGGGGGGACAAGCACCTCGCACGGCTTCCATTCACGGCGGTCGCTAGCCACGCTGACGACGTACAAGCTCTTCGCACTGAGCGGCGGGTCGAACAGCTGGGAACCGCCATGTTTGTTTTGGCCGCAGCTCGCGCGCCCTCCCTCCCCCCGCCCACGCGCGCTTGCGCTGAGGGAGGCAGTACCATGCCCCCCACATCCCCTTTCCACTACCACCACCACCACCACCATCGTCACACCCATCATAAAATTATCATCACCACCGCCACCACCACAACCATCATCGTCATCACCATAACCATCATCACCATTGCATAATCATCATCAGCACCACCACCACCAGCATCATCATCGTCATCACCACAACAATCATGATCATCCGCATCGTTTCCATCATCACCAACATTATAATAATCATCATCACCATCATCCATCACGATCATCATCACCAGCATAATCATGATGATCGTCGTCGTCATCGTCGGCGGCGTCGGCGGCATCGTCATCAACACCGGCGTATCATCAATATTATAGATAATCCTCCGTTTCCTCACCCTCCCCCTCACCATCAATCATCATCATCACCATCATCATCAGCATCATCATCATCAGCAGCAGCCATCACCTGCGCCGCGGGCCGCGAGCTGATCGGAGCCGAACGAAGCCCTGCGAACAGATTTGCGTGAACGGCTCTCAACGTCGAGGCAGTGGCGGACCTCCTTGCCGGCGTTGCCGCACTCGCCCAAGCGAATGAAAACAGCACCTCGCAATCCGCACCAGGTCTCATTCTTCCGCTTGAAGGACCCGTTGCTGCGCGCGCAGAGCTAGCCGGCGCAATCCATGGCAGGAAAGGCGATGCGCGCCTTGATCTTATGCATGGCCAAGTCAGCTGAGTTGCGCTGCGTCACATGGCGCGTGAGCAGTTTCCTCTTGGCCCTCTGCAGCGCCACAATGCACACGGCGACGCGGCGCCGGTTGTGCAGGGCACACGCTGCTGCCCCCAGCAGTGAAACACACAGGTCTGGCAGTTGTCTGCCTGCCGGCTCGTCGGCCTTCGCCTCGACCAGGTCGACGAGCTGGATCGATATCAGGGCGTCGTTGTTCTCGTCCTGGTCGAGCGTCACTGCGCCGTCGGCGCTACGGCGTTGACGGGCCTCGGAGTTGGCGAAGCCGTCGCACTCGCCCTTCTTCTTGCCAAAGACGCTCTCGATACGGCCGAGAAGTCGGCCAACGTGCCCCCCACGCCCAGCAATCCTAGGATCGCAAGAAATGTCGGGACAGCATGAGCACAAGCTTCGAATCGTCGGCACCACAGGCACCAAAGGCCTCGCGTTTGACCTCGAACTCCGGGCCCCAAGCCGGCAGGCTGGGCGCCATACTCTGGCGAGCGCAAAATACCGGGCAAGCTTCGTAGAGAAGGCGCAGGGCGCGTCCTTGCAGCCCCTCGCTGGCTCTCTGCAACGCAGACACTCTGTCCGCTCGTCGAAGGACTGGCAGCCCGGCACCTGCCTGAGGATGGCTGCACTGCCAGGCGGCCGGGCAATGTTCACCCGAAGCGGTACCTGACCTTCCTCCTGCATCTCAGCAAAGGTCATGCCCCGCAGCGGCGCACGACGCGGAACCAGAGATAAAATACTCCAGATTTCGCAATAAAAGGGAAGCGGCCTGGACCCTCCAAGACAAGCCATTTCAGACCTCCCCCGTGGGAGAACCCTCCAAAACATCGTCCCCAGACCCCCCAGGCCTCCAAGGTAGCCTGGAAGAGACCCCCCCCGAAATGAGACCCCCTCCCTTTATTACAAAATCTGGAGTACGCTGCAAGGCGCGCTTCGCAATCCCCGCGAACGTCTCTGGGGCCCCCGACGCCCCGTAAGCCTCTGAGAGCCATGCGGTACCGGATGATCCTCGCGGCTTCTGCGGTTTGCACTTAAACGCGCGCCTGGAGTCCACGACGTTTCTGGCGCCCTCGAGCAGTCGCCCCTCGAAACACCTGACTCATATGGCCAGCTCTTCGAGGGCGGCCGCTGCCACTTCCTTCGACGGCCTGGACGCTCCCTCCTTGATCACCAGATCAGGGTCGCGCTTGATGGCCGCGGTCTTGACGGCCGCGCAAACGTCAAGCACGGCTGTCCGAAACTCGCCAGCAACATATTTGCGAGACGCTTTCTCGTTGAAGCTCAGGAATGCTTCACACACACCCGGGCCAAAGCACAGCTTCACATGAATTCCTGATTCGCCCTCCTCCTCCAGCTTGGCGTAGTCGCCCGGGGAAGCCTCGCGCAGGTTGAAGTAGCACTGCGCGAAATTGTCCTGATTCTGGCGATGCGTCTCGAGGCGATAGCGCCACTCATGTGGCAGGCAGCCAAGCCCAGCCGCAGCGTGCTCGACTGCAGCGTAGATCATCTGCTGGCTGTCCCCCATCTCCATCCCCTTCAGCTCCTGGGCCAGATCCTCTGCCACTGCGACTTCACGCCAAGCCTTATAATGTCGCAACCAACTGTGACCTGGATCACCAGAGAGAATTTCGAGCACCAAGAAAATACCGAACCGAAAGGTTTTTCACATGTCGGGCCCTGGGAGGCGATACTCGTTTGACACTGCATCGATACTTCCCTGGGTGCTCGATATTATTTCGGGGGCGTGGTCCTTGAGTGCGACGGGAGCAACACATGCCAAGCCGCTAAGATCACCTGCTGAATGTGGCCGGACAAGTCGCTGCCTGTCTCCTCGGACATAGCAACGCTGATGGGGATCCTCCCTTAGCGGTGCTGGTAGCGCCCTCTGGAACGTCGGTGACATAATCGTCGAGCGTTCAGCTGAACATTGTCTGTTTCTGCTGCCATAAGCGCCTCGTCACCTAAAATGAACTGGATGGTGCGAGCCTCCTTCCACATCTCGCCGATGAGCACATGGGCGTCAAACCTGGCGCCAGTAAATCTGTCGAACATCACCTGGACTCGGAATGATCCACCAGATGACTAGGCGGCTGGCGCAGCCCGGACAGTCACCCACAGATTCCTGGCCGCGCAGTAGACGCATGGCACGAAACTCTGCCAGCTGAAAGCATCTGCGGTAGACCCGGAGCAGAGCTTCGAGAATGTCTGGGCCTTGCCGCGTCTGCGCGGCGGTCTGCAAGCCCCTCGATTCCCCCCAGCGGCCGAGAAGTCCAGGCACGGGGCCCGAGCACGATGCACCCCACGAAATTCCCAACTCGGTCCCAGGACAGGCCAGCTCGCGCGAAGCTGGCGCCTATTTCGTCGAAAACGGCACCGATGATGGGCATGAACCCCTGCAGTCAGCAGACGACGCGGGCCGAGCAGCACCTGACCGCAACCTCGCCTCGAGCCAAGTCGACAGACAGACATGACAGTCCCAGGCCCCGCCCAGCCTGACACGTCCGTCGTGCTCGGCGACCTGCGCATATCAATCGCCGACGATCCCTGGAGCGGCTCCCCCGCGGTGGCTTGGTGAGCGTAAACTACCGGTTTTGGGGGCCCAGAATACATATCGCTTCTGTGTTTCTCTGCAAAAGAGGAGGAGGAGGAGGAGGAGGAAGAGGAGGAGGAGGAGGAGGAGGAGGAGGAGGAGGAGGGAGGAGGGAAGAGGAGGAGGAGCAGGAGGAGGCGGAGGAGGAGGAGGAGGGAGGAGGGAAGGAGGAGCGAGGCGGCTGTGGCCGAGACAGAGGTGGCCAGCGGCGGGCGGGCGATGGCGGGAGCGAACGCGACACGCGCGAGAGCGCGCTGCCGTCGTCGTCGTCGTTCGTCGTCGTCCGTCATCGGGGGGGGGGGGGGGGGGGGGGAAAAAAGTGTTTGTTGTGTGTTTTGTTGTTTCTTGTGTTTTTCTCACAGTGTGTTTTGCTGTGTTTTTTCCCCACCGTCATCGACGCAAGGCCGCGGAGAGGAAGTGTCGGGGGCGAGAGGAAAGGAGAGGTAACAGAAGAAACCACGAAAATTCCCGATTGGACCGATCGGAACTCTGGGCTTCGCGTGTCTGCGGGATTCTCCAGATTTCGAGCCGAAGTCAAGGATTCGCGGTTGAGGCCGCTTCCGGTTTTCGACTGAGCGGATTCTGGGTTTGGGGCCGATTCCGGGGCTGAGCTACCTCTCCGCCAGGAGGCGTAAGAGAAGGCGGAGGAGGAGGAGGAGGAGGAGGAGGAGGAGGAGAGGAAGAGAAGAGGAGGAGGAGACTTTGTTGTATTCAGCAGCTTGATGCGGAGGAGAGGATGAGGAGGAAGCTGAGGAGCAGGATGGGAGGAGGAGGAGGAGGGAGAGGAGGAGGAGGAGGAGGAGGAGGAGGAGGAGGAGGAGGAGAGGACAACTACATGTCATCGGCAAGCACTAAACTGTGCTCAACCGCCTGATGCGGAGGAGAGGAGGAACAGGATGAGGAGGAGGTGGAGGGGGAGGGGGAGGAGGAGGCGGCGCAGGAGGAGGCGCCGAAAGAAAAAAGCCAGAGGAGGAGCTGGTCCTCCGGCACGGCAGCCCCGCCCTGCGCCGCGGGAGCGCCCGCGGTGCCCCTGCCGCCTGCCGGCGCCGCCCCGCCCGCAAGCTGGTGGCAGGGCACGGCGTCGTCGAACCTGCGAGGGCGGAACGGTTCCTGCCGTCAACGGTTGCGCTGATCGGCGGCGAGCGAGGGGGAAAGTGAGAGAGAGAGAAGGCCTTCTCGGAAGGCGGCGGGGCTTCTCAGAAGCCCGCACGCCTCCCGAGAAGTGTTCTGCGCCTTCGGGGAGGGCTCAGGGGGCGTCTCAGAAGGTCAGGGGACTTCCGAGTCTCCTGAGAAGGCCCGCCCCTGCTCACTTCCCCCCAGGCTCGCCGCGGAGTTGAGGGAAGAACCGTTCCGCCTCAACGGCTTCTCTTCTAAATTGTTCAATTGTTACGTTGAGGGCGGGTGGGTGGGGCGTTTGGTGCACAGTGCCTTCCCTCAACAGTTACCCTTGCAGGAAGGCACTTCGCACCAAACGTCGAAGAGCCACTTCGCGTGACACCCCTTCGCCCCCCGGCCTCACGACTGCGCGAGTATTCTCAGAGGCTCGGGGCCGAAAAGATCTTGAACCCGACACATCGAACGCAATACCTTCCAATACTGAGAAGATTATCGGGCACTGTTGTTGCGAGTATTTGGCTGAGCACTCTTGTAGGGCTCCAGGCACTACACCGCCACCAGCCCAGTCCAGGCCCATCCTGTGCCCTGGGCTGGTGTGCAGGCCCTCCTGGCCTGGGCCTGGAGGCCTATCCACCAGGCCAGGGCCCAGGGCCCCGGAGGGGCCTGGCCCGGGCCGGTGGTGGTGTAGCGTTGGCGCCCCATCCGATGTGAATGCGAAACTCGGGCACTGTTGCCGTCAAGACACCCCCTTCAACCGAAGGACCGAGGCCACGCCCGCATGCACACGCAAGGGCGGCCGCTCGGGACACGGGCGGGCGAGAACCGGCAGGCGGCCATGCACTCGAGAAGGCCTCGCTCCATGCCCAGAGGTCCGATAATTCGACCTTTTCAATTGAGGGGACACGATGAAGGGAGTGATGGACGTAGGGGGGAACATGGACCTGGAATCGGCGACACACCGCAGACAGATCGGCGATCGGCCTCCGATGCCCCTATCGACAATCAATGATATGCCTATCGCCTATCGCCTATCCCCCCCATCGTTGCCCCTGATCAATACGGGGCCCTAGAAGAGCCGACCCCTTCCTGAAACCCAGCTTCTCATCCTGAGTCGATATTTGACGGCCCTGGGGCCTGGCGAGGGCCCCCACAGGCAGGAAAGAATGGCGAAGACCCTCCAGCCTGATTTGTGTCAGCACTTGTGTCAGCACGCTGGACCCCTGGGCACCTGCAAGGGCGGATCTGATCTGATCGGACCTGCCAGGGTAATCCGCGAGGGGGCCCAACAGGCTGGCACTGGAGCGCGGGGCGCTCCTGGAACAGAGGACCAGTGCGGCGCCAGGCTGCACACAAGCACAGCGGCGGACCAGCGGCGAGCAAACCCAAAGGTTCCCAGCGACTGGAAAAGATCGCACTGGAGGCTTAAGACAAAGCGAGGGCGAGGATAAATCCAGGTAGAGATCAATCGAAAATATACAATACACGGCGACTCTGGAGAATGTCTCAGGCGCCGTGGCCTTCTCAAAGCGTTCCAGGGCGCTCTGCAAGCGCTCAAAACGCCGTGGAACGGATCCATGCTCGCCCCAGCCGCGCCCAGAAAGGTTTCTGCCACCAGCTGACCCCAAAACCCCAATTTCTTCCCTGCCGACCAGACGCAATAGGGGGAAAAGAAGAAGAAAAAGAAAAGGAAAAAACAAAAACAAACAAAAAAAAAAAAAAAAAAAAAAACGTGTAAGCGCTTGCCGTCACAGACCAAACACACCAGGCAAAATGAGCGGTTGCGGCGGAACCTGTGGATTATCCTACCGGGCCAACGCCAACATCAAATGCCTCAAACAAAGTGGCCGGCCGGGAAAACGTCGCCACATTCAGGGAGAAGGAGGAGGAGGACGAGGAGGAAAGAGAGAGGAGAGAGAGAGGCTGATACGAAAATGCCCTGATTCGTATCATCTACTTCCGTGCAGTGGACGGCGGAGAGAATAAACGCACCCAACTGAGCGACGCTCAGGCCAACCTGCGATATTCGAGACGTCGCGCGCACTGGCTACATTACGTAACTATCTGAACCCAAGCTCCGCGAATGACAACGTAAACTGAAAACAGGACAAGAACACGAGGAGGGAGACGGGGAGAGGAGGAGGAAGAGGAAGGAGGGAGGAAGAGGAGAAAGAGGAGAAAACAAGTTGCCTGGATGTCGGAGCGTTGCTATATCCGTGTGGACACACACACGCCCTACCAGGGGCATCCCGCCTGCAGCAAGCACAGTACTCTACATGCACGCGTGCAAAAACGTATCCTCCCAAGCGCCCCGCCCTAGCGGGACGCGAAGGGAACTCCCCCGAGCCTGAACGTTCGACTCCGCGCTGGCCTTCACGGAAGTACTCGGCAAACGCCCCATCCAAGTCCGAAGCCTCCACGCGACCGCGCCGCCTGCCGTTGCAGATCCGGTACAAAGCGCACACAGCTAGAACCCAACGCTGGACCTCTTCTGGCAGCCGCCACTGGTCCCCCAAACCCAGGACGGCCTCCAGCTCGAAGACTGGATCCGGCGGTTGGACGCCCGCGTGCCTGCTGAACAGACATCGGACAACGGGGCAACCAGCGAGGCGCCGACCGCTGTCCTCTGGGCAACCGCAGCCCATCCGGCACTCGCCACGAGCCCCAAATCGTGATCGCGCACACCACTCAGCGCAGAAAAGTCGGAAGGTAGCAGCCCAAATCATTGGTTGACAAATGCTGCATACCAGCTGCAAGACATGGCGGGCCCGATGTAATCGTCGATCACGGAGTAGGGGAATACACCAATGGTCCAGCTTTATTCTGGAGATGTCCCAAGGCGAGGGCCTGCGAATTTCCGCATATGCGTTTCGCCACCCGCTTCTGCCAACCGAGCCAGGTCTTCCCAGAGACGGCCATCAGGACATCGACGACGAATCGCGCCCACCCGGAACGCCGCCCTATGCAAGTTGAGGATGAAGCTGTCGCCGCGCCCAACCGCAAAACCAACCGAAGCAACCCAGCGCAGAAGCCGAAGAACAAGACACAGCCTGCAGCTTTGCCGCCCGCCCCCCGATATCGACGGCCCCGCGGGCATCAAAGTTCACGAGCCTGGCCTTCGCCGCTTCGCCGCCAAGATTGTCGGAGGAATGTCGGCGAGCTCCTCCGAGAAGCGCGGGGATTTCAACTCCCGGGCTCGATCCGCCGCCACCCAGTCCTTGGGGCCTGGGGAAGGCTTCTGGCAGGCCGCGACCTCCGAGAACCGGGACGCGGGTGGCAACTCCTCTAATTGCCCCACGAACATTAGGACAGATGCCGCGAAAATCTGGCACGCTTCCATGGCCATGGGGAGACTGGCGCCGACGGCGCCCCATTGCTGCGCACGTTCGCCACATTTGCGAAGCGGGGCTTCCCAAGAATGTTGCCCCCTGCCAGGGCCGACGAATAATCCAAAATACTTCGCCGCCGCTGAAATTGCCAGCCCCCCCCGCCCAGGCGCGCCCGTCGCCGCAGCGGCGCGAACCTCGCTCGTCGAACGGATCCAGCGGCGCCACCAGCGCCTACGGGATGTTCAGACCAAGTCCTGAGACCCGTTCGAACACATCGAACAGCGCCTGCAGAGCGCCGAGTTGCCGCCAACCGCCGGCTAGGACCATAGCAAGATCGCCCGCCCAAGCGCTAGCAACTGCCTCCGGGAACGCGCGGGCGAGCCGCCGAAGGAGCTAATCTGAGCAGGCAGCAAACAATAATGAAGAGACGGGGCAGCCATGCTGGACGCCACGGGCGAGCTCGAAGCCAGGGTATCGCACCCCATCCAGATGAAGGTAACCACACTTGTGCCTGCGCAAGCTGACCACGAAACTGACGAGCCAACGGGGCCAACCCAAGCACGCGAAAGAAGCGATGAGGAGCCGGTGCACGATGGGCGAAATGGCGGCTGCGAAATCGAAGAGAAACGCCATGCCCCCCTCGTTGTTCGCCGCCGCATACAACATAGCATCGTCGATGTCGATGAAATTCGCCAGCATGGACCGGCCTCGGATGAAACCCCGCTGATTATCTGTGATAAGCGGGCCGAGAACGGGCTCCACCAGGATGCGGCATGCGCTCGCCAGGAGGCGGCTGTCCGCATTCCTAATGTTAAGTAGACGCACGCCCCCTGGTTCGAAGACCTCGTCGCCCTCGGCCGCGACCCCCGCTGCCTGCTTGGGAAAAACATGAGGAGGCTCTCGTCGACGCCCCCGCACTCCTGCGCCATCCTGTCCTCCAAGTCGCCGCCGCTGATTTCCTGGAAAGCGGCAGATACCACGTCGACTGCCACGCCCACCAAGCGACGCCATGCATCATAGGAAGCGTCGCCCGGGCCTCGAGCCGAATCGTTTGATGATTTCAACGCCTTTGCGACACGTTCCTTTTCCAAGCGCAGGTGGAGGAGGCCGTCGCGGAGAGGCCCAGGCTCCGCGCGATGGCCCCCGCCCTCTTTCAATCACTGCTCGAAGAGATCCTCGCCGACCCCGCGACCACGAAACACTTGCTGCCAGGGAGTCTGGAAAGCGGCCGCCATCGCAGACAGCCCCGCGAGACGCGCGCCGCCCCGGCCCTGGAAGCCCACACGGCGCCGCAGCGCCCAGGAAAGAATCGGTAGAGAAGGCGCGGGGCGCTTCGCCGAGCTCGCGACGCACGCCCCTAATCGCCCGCCTGTTCCGCCTGCTCGACCACCCCCAACTCGTCGAGCGCAAACTCCCGGGCAAGCCCGACAGCGCGTTCCCGCACTGGCTGGAGCCGTCGCGCGAGGTCGCCGCTCATCTCGCACGGGCTGCCCACCAGGTCTATGAGATATGAATTCCGGAGCAAGCAAGTCGAAATAGAGCCCATGGCGCCGTGCTCTGCAGCGCGGAGAAAACGCATCGCAACGCCGAGGCGGTCGCCGAGCTCCACTGCGCGCCGTTGCTTGCCGAACTGCGAGCTGAGATGCCC